AACAAACAAACAGAGAAAAGCTACACTGAAAAATAACAGGGAAGAAAAAGCCCACTTAAAATATGTAAGATATATATGCTAGGCAGGTGCTCTATCACTGAGCTATATCCACAGCCCTCAGAATATTCTCTAAAATAATCCATAAAGAGAGAAACTTGAGAATTTGTTACAATATGAGAAACAAATATCAACAACCAAAAAAGAAAAAAGAAACATACAAACCCAAAATCCAGAGGATAGCAGAGTGATGAATTAATTGAAAGGCACACTAATTTAAGGCTCAAAATCTGATTCCTAAGAGAAAGAATCACTATGATTGCATCCTGTCTTGAAACAGGGTGTGTGTGTGTGTGTGTGTGTGTGTGAGAAAGCCCTTAAAATTTAAAGTAGGAATGTTTAGAAGTATGATAGTTTTGGTTTAGGGGATCAAAAATTCAAATAGAAGCTAACAAAGAACAAGCAAAGAAAAATTTCCGAGGCTGTGAAACCTAGCTACTTAAGATAATGACACAAATTTATGACTGCTTCCTTCCTCGGCAGAAAGGAGCACAATTAGAAGGCTGAGAACAACGGGCCCTTTGTACCAGCATGTCGTGTTTAGCTTATTCTCTTATGCATTGGCTGGGAGATGAAAATAAACAGGACAACACCCAGTCTAACCCAGCAGGAGGGGTGGAGGGAAAAGCCTGTTCCGAGCATTCCTGGGCATGTAGGGGTGCACACCGTTCGACTGCAAATTGAGGTACTTAAGACAACTGTGCATGCAATAGTCAGGAAGAAGGATCAGCAAGCCTTGACTGCACAATCCAGTCTTTCAAGAACCACTCGTGTGTAACTGGGAGCTCTAGAGTACTTCTACTCTGTAAAGTGTTCTAAGATATGTAAACAATCGATAACTATCTAAAGTATTTATCCATTCTATTTGTGATCAATCTTTAAAAAAACACTTAAAAACTAGGATGAGCAAACATAAACACAGCTTCCCTCCTTTTGATCTATTGTGTCAAAAAGTTTGCAAGGAATCCGTCACCAGCCACACAAAAACATGGTAATGCCAGCCTGAGTCCCAGCACTGGAGAACTCTGTTCAAGGTCAGCAGGTGCAGGCCACTTGGGTTCTAACTAACCAGTCATGAGGGGCAGCGCACCTGGGGTTCCAAGAAAACCAAGACAAAACTGGGCCTCACTTGCAGCTCTCTCTCCACAACCCTGACCGCCTGGAATGATGGATCCTGATCCAACCACTGCCAGTTGTCAGTGTCTCTCTGCTCTTACTTACATGATGCGTGAGTAGCTCAGATGGCCACCCATTTCTCCTCCTTTATCATTTACTTGGTTTTATTTTCTTCATCACACACTTCTTAGTTTCTTCTCATGAATAAAATTTTCATCCCCTAATTACATCAAGTCCATGAAGACAGAGAACTCATCAACCTTGTTCACCCTTGTAAGTGAACAAATACACCAACAAAATGAGCAAAGGGGGGGGAAAAAACTGTCATAGTGCCATGGAAAAGAGCTCAAAGCAGAATTGGTCACCTATCAGTAGGTGACCAATTTTGTTCCTCGGGGGTGAAACCACATGTGGATGGCGGGACTGGTGAGCAGAGCTAGGTGGCATTTTGATTTTGGCACCAAACAAAAAACCACAGGAGATTTTTGAAATTCAAATACGGGGGTGGAGGGTCTGGATGTCAGCGAGGTGGTTTTGCCAGTCTAATTATGTGTGGTGATATGCAATTGTGAACTGCTGAAGGGCAAATGCTGGAACAAAGCATTTATTCCAAACATACAGAGGTAAGACAGAGGTGGGTGTCCACTTTCAAGCAGCTGTCAGAAACCTGGCTCCAGGTGCTACTCCATCAACTGCACTGCTAACAGTGCCAGTGCAATAAGCTCTTCTCCCGTCCTGCTTCGGTACTAGAAAGTGGGCTGGTTAGTAGGTTTCTGAGACACAGAGAATGTGAGAAGTCAAGAGGAAAACAGCAGAATGTTAACTATCCAAACAGGAAGAGCTGTCCACCCATCGAGGACTCGTTTACAGTGCCTTTGTCTTCACAGAGGTATTCAAGTACTCAATCCAAGAAACGTTCCTTCACAGCTCCCAACACAGCAGATTGTGTCTTTGTGAAACCAAAACAGCAAGCCCATACCCACCGAGTGAGACCCGTGTGGGGAGGGAACAATCCACAGTGTCTTCAAAGCAAATTAGTGATTCTCCTCCAGATCAGAAAGAAGAAAAGCACCTCTCCCCTGAACAGTGGTCCTGGGAAGGGTTAGGGTGGAGGTGGGGGTCAATAAATAATGACTCTGGTTATTTCAAAAGGAGACAAGAATCACGAAATGTAGCCCTGGTAAATACTCTAGTCACTGCTATTATGAAAAACATTCCAAATCCGAAAACACTGGGTAGTCGTCACCTTCTTATACACTGATTTGTCATTACCACACATTCAAGCTGTACAAATGAGGTTTGTTTTTTTTTCCTCTACTTAGCTAAATATCAGATTAGGCTCAAAAACAGAATCAGAGTGGAGAGTTTTAAGCTTACACAAATTATAATGTATAATATTTAAAACACAGTAAAATCTTTATGGATATAACCCCAAATTTTTTTAAAGCAATTCTTTAACACAGTTATTAATGACTTGTTTTAGGTCACAAGCAGAAGTGAATGCCTTTTCACAAAAAAAGAATACTAAAATGGTATAAAGTGGTACTCGTTATAATTACGACCTAATCACTAAAGAAGTTCAGAGGTATGGAACTGATGATCTTGCATGCATGTTTATAAAACACGGAATTGGGAAAGAACCAGCTAATGAACCGAGAAATCCTTTGATCTCTCAGCATATTATAACTCACAGAACAGTGGAGAGTTACAGGGTGGAGGTCCTTTGGGATGGCTCCTTCTAGCCTTGGGGATTCTTTCCCCTATTTGGGGTGCAGAGTTGACCTACAAGGCTGTCATTTTTGTTTCAGCTTTGATTGACAGAGCCTCAGGTAGGCAAAGCCTTAACTCTAAATATAAAGTCATAAGTTAAGGCTTTGCTGTGGCCACATGTGGCTCAAGGTGTTGGGATCCCAGGAGAGTCAAGCCAAGCAAGTGGAATCCATTTAAGTCAGAGTTTGAAAAAAACAAGAGTCCCCCCTTCTTTCCCCTGCCCCTTCCTACTGGCTGTGGAAGATGCCACAATCCCCCTCCACAGCCCAAACTCAGGGGACAGCAATGCAGTCCAGGAAGACATCTTTATTTCCACAGTCTCAAATGGAAAAAAAAGATATATGACAACCAACCACAAATTTCTGAATGTCCGTTCTCCTATTTTTAAGCACAGAAGCAGTCTTGCTGCTGCTAAGTCATCATCATCATCCCATGGTTTGACATTTGTAACACTTGGCCTTCGGGTATTACTTTAAAAGTACAGAGTTAAGTGTGCTTAAACCACTTTAAATATCTCAAAAAGCAGCAGTGTACCTGCTTGGGCACGCAAACTTGAAAAGCAAAGCTTTATAGAATGGCCGCAGGTCAACAAAATTCTGGTTTTGGCAGCTAATGTCAGGAAAGAGCTATAGAAAATAAGGTCCTGCCTCTGAAACCACTCTACCCTTGGTTCCCTCAGGCCAGAACCTGGTCCTGTTAGTGAACATGCTCTGAGAAGCTACGGCTCTCGTAAAGTGCTAAACACTCCCAAATAAATATGCCCCCTCAAAACTGTATACAAATGAGAAACATTTAATGAACAACATTTCTTCACCAATAACTCTGCTTAAATTAAGTCCAGGAGACTCTTCAAAGGGACCAAAGAAGCCCCTTTGTTAAGACAAATTCTATATATAGACATCCAAGACAATTACATGATGCATGTAACCAAATATATATAATTATCCTAGTTCCTACATTCCCATTATCTTTATAAATATAGGATAAAAATCAGTCTAAATGACTTTCTCAGACCTCCTCATGGATTAAGTCAAGTCAGCCAGCCTTTAAAAAGTATATGTATGTAGTAAAGATCAAAAGCAAACGTTCTGGTCAGTTCTTTTCTACTCATGGGTTTTACTAAGAATGTGCACAGTTTTCAGGGAAAACACCACAAATGACAGCTGTTCAAAAGCACGGAAATTAATTGGCAGCAGGAATTTCCTTGACTAATGGGGAAAAACTTAAAGTCACATGTTTTGATGAGCTTATTTTTCCCATCCTTAGCCAAGAATATTCACTGTTAATGATTAAGATTTGCAAACAGAAATATAACCAAGGGAAACCCTGAGTATACTCTCTGTCCTTTTTCAGTGGAACACCACTACCCATGGCAGAATAAAGAATGGAGTTAATGAAGGGAGTTTACCTGTAAAAGATACATCGGGGAAAGGTTCAACTTTCTGTAGGAACCAAACCAAGACACGGTAAGAATAATGCACTGATTGTATTAAAAAATAGTAGCACCGTGAGTACCACCCGCCCCTCCCTGCGGCAGGCCATCTGCTCTTGAGCTGTTTGTCCAGCAGTGAGGATTGATTTCCACTGATCTGCCCACAGTCTCTCTGACACAGGGGCTCTCAAGTCGTTGCCTTGGGACTGGTGGTAAGGATGGATGAGACAGCTGGTCAGGATTAGGCAAACAGCCCATGGCCCTGGGACCAGGTCATGTTACTGTGCCCAGAGCTCACGCTTTGACCTTGAACTCATTCGAATTATGCTCTCATCACCCACACTAACAGCCCTGATCAGCTCTGAACAACATACATCACCCTGGGCAACCCCAGCAACAGCGTGGGCTTTCCATTCTCAAGGCAGTTTGAATTGAGCCCATGACACCCACAGGCTCACATGGGCTTAAACACTGACCCTCAAAGGAGCAATAAGATGTCCAAGGATGAGCTACGTGGCCCTTGCCTCCAAATCAAATGACAGCTTTAAGACAGCTCAAGAAAAGCAAGAAATAGTCTAAGAATTTCCAGAGCATGTGCTCCAAGTGACACAAGAGAATGACATACCTGGCCATCCCCAGACTTGAAAAGTTAGCAGGGACAATGAGTATATCCAGCCGGGAGAACGGGTGTGTTCCTAGGACAGAGTGCGCAGCTGAGAGGCAAGGAGGGATCAGAGGCAGAAGGGTCTCTTGGCAGACATCCCGGAGGCACATCGGGGCAAAGACTCGGTGAGGAATGACCTCCTGGGCAGTGGCAGAGGCATTCTGGAAACGGCAGGGGTATTCCACGTGACCACAAACACCAGCACACCTGGGGATGACAGGAGAAAAGCAGATGCGCTTACTGGTAAACCGTGCCCACTCCTGCTGCGGAGGGGTGGAACTCTTCAACAATGGACCACTTACAGGAGACAGAAGTTCCAAGGGGCTCATGAGCAAAGACAGTTCTCTGTTCAAGTGAATAGCAATGAAAGATTACAGATCAAAACACCTAAGAGGGGCTGGGGCTCGGGCTCAGGGCAGAGTGCTTGCCTAGCATGTGTGAGACACTGGGTTCCATCCTTAGCACCACATACAAAAATAAAGAAAATAAAGGCATGCTGTCGATGTACAACTACAAAAAATAAATAAAATAAAACTGATGTGCTTGAGTTCATGGAGCAGTTCAATCTAAGTGATAAAAAAGCAGTCAAATCTTGTTTTAGAATAAACTGAGGGGATGGGATCCAAACTCAGAATGAAACTACCTCCCACCCAAATAAAAACAATTTCTTCCCTCAGTAACGTGCTTTTAAATATCATCATGGGAAAATCTCCAAATCAGGGATGAATTGTAACTCTGAAAGGAGGGGAAAGTACAGCCAAGCTTAAGATAAAAATTCTGGAAATTTTCTAGAATGAGAGACTCATACTAAGGTAGGAGAACAAGCCAAATGACAGTTGCAGGTACAAAGTTTTCAAAAAAACACAGTCCCTTTGACTGACAAGCCGTCTGGGGGTTCTTCACAAAGCCCATCCAGAGCAGCTGCTGAGGACCCACTGGTTTTCTGAGGCAATAGTCCCGCAGGCTACTGTCAACACAAATTTAAAGGAATTGTCCTTTTAAGTAACCATATGAAGCCCACTCAGTACCATCTGACCACTCCCAGTTACCCCGTCAAAGGTGCAGCTGAAGAGAATTTCTAGAACCTGACTTGCAGGTCTCAGGACAGCTATCTACCCACCAAAACTGACTTCAAAGGGAAGTCTGTCTTCTCACCTGCTAACATGTCCTTTATGCAAGCACAATGTGCAGCCTCTTTACTTTGTATTACAAATTATGATTATGACAGTAGGTGCTTGTTTGATTCATAGTGAACACAAAAAAATTTTTAAACACCGGCCTGTCCCAGTATGGGCAGGTTTCAATGACAATTCCTGTTCCAATTTATGAAGTGCCCTTCCCCCAAGCAACGCCAGCTCTCAGGAGATCCATACAGCGGTGCTCTCCCCTCTGTGTGACTCAAGGAGCCCGGCCTCCGGCCCTGATGATGCTTCATCGTGGTTGAGGGTAAGAAAAATGGAAGGAGAGCTACAGAAACTTCAGCAGAATAAAGCAGTAGAAAGACTATAATTACTGCCATTGAACTCTAGCCGCAGTCCCTGGATTGATAACCTCGCATTGGAGAGTCAGCCAAGGTGCCTGTTGGTAAGCACTTAACTGAAAGGCCAACGTGTCCACCTAATGGCAAGAACCGTTCGGGGCATTAGTTCAATCAAAGGTCTCACAAAGTGGAAATGAACCACCACCACACCTTTTCCTACTGTATTTACACAGGCATATGATGAGCTACAGTCATTTAAACTCACACTCCCGGTTGAAAAGCTATCAGAGTGTGTTAGCAATGGAGATCCTGGAGGTGTACAGGCATCTTCTGGATAAATTCCACAAACCACAGTACAACACTGCAAAGAGGCTCTTCATCTAGGAACATACAGCCTGTTTCCACCAGGCAGGTTTATTTCTTATAGACAAGAACACCAAAGGGCAGAGAATAGATTGAGGTAGCCAGAGATACGCCAAAAAACCCCACTTGTTCAAGGGAAAATGTGATTGAGAGTCTCTTGGGAAACATATGGCACTAGCCTAGCTGATGGAAATGATTCCAAGTGCGTGACTGGGCACTATTTTCCATAATCAAAGTCTGAGAGAAAATGCAGGAGTATACGACCATCAAACCATAGACAAGTGAGACCAGTAAGACTCCTAACAAAAATGGAAATGTCATGAGGGAAGTAACTCGCACATGGTGCTATGGTGTGGATGTGAGGTGAGGTACCCCCAAAAGCTCACGTGTGATACCATGCAAGATTTAGACAAGAAATGACTGGATTATCAGAACCTTAAACCAATCAGCAAATTGATCCACTGAAGGGATTAACTGAATGGTGACTGAAGTGGTGGGGTGTGGCTGGAGGTGGGAACTGGAGCCGTGGCCTTGGGGTATATTTTTTGTTTCTGGTGAGTGGAGTCTCTCTGTGCTGCTGATCACCATGTGAGCTGCTTTCCTCTACCATGATGTTCTGCCTCACTTCGAGCCCCAAGGAATGGAGGCTGGCTGTCTATAGAACAAGACCTCTGAAACCGTGTGCCCCTAAATAAACTTTTTTCCTCCTTTAATTGTTCTTGTCGGGTCTTTTAGTCACAGCAGCTACAAAGCTGACTAAAACAGAGAGACAGAAAACTTGGGTTTCAGCGGCCTCTCAGAGACCAGCTGTGACCAGAGCAGGCAAGGTGGTATCTGGGACCTCTTTACCTTCATCTTTCTGCAAAGTGGCTGCTGAAGGAGGGAAGGAAGTGATTGGAAAGGGGTGTGAAAGAACTTCCCAGAGTGAGTGCTCTCTAACTGGCTTACAAAGTATATACAGTGTCAGAAACTCGGCAAGCCAAGTAAGACTTGCTCATTGCACTGTACGCTAACTACGCTTTAATTAAAATGAACAAACTGGAGCTGGGGGTGTGGTTCAGTGGTAGAGCCTTGCCTAGCACATGTAAGGCATTAGATTTGATCCTCAGCACCACATAATAATAAATAAAATAAAGGTATGGGTCCATCTGCAACCAAAACAACAATGAGAAATAAAATGATCTCTGAGGTTTCTTCTTGCACCATGACTCCGTGACAATTGCTGCATGAGCCCCTCTGTACATCCAGCCTGCCTCTGGAGAACTCAGGGGATGCTGCTGTATTTGCACTGAATCGTCAAGTCTCGCAGAGACCCCATGGCCACGTGGAGATGTTCTCTTTCCGCTCAGGCAACTCTTCACTCTCCACACCTGTACAGAACGACCCTCCCCACCAGGCCTGCTCTCCTTCAGAAGGAACTGCCCATTTTCAGTGCCTTTAATCATTTTTGCTGAGCTTCTCTGGACTTCATCCAAGTTTCCGTGCCGTGCTTAAGCTGCATGGTCCCAACAGAAGCCTAGAGAGGTTAAACATAACACCAGAGTCCTCTGTGGCTGGAGCAGAATAAAATTAATAAGTTTTTGACAGTTTATCTCAGTGCCTTACAGCTAATGCATTACTGCAGTGCTCACCCAGAGTGGGCTGAGTGTGTGGAACTGGAGCTGGAAGAGGGAGTGTTCTTCCTATAATTTAGCCCACATGAACAATGATCAAAAGTTCAGTGACCAATCCTCTGGCCAAATTTCTGGAACCCAGATGAACACTTTAGGCAAATGAAAGCCTGTAGTCTATAAGGCCCCTGTAAAAGCTAGATTTCCACAAATTGAATTGGGGGTCTCAAGGGTTTGAAGTAGAAAGGGGGTTGGGGAAGGCAAGGGGGACCAGATGTGAACATAACCAGAAACACCCTAGGATTGGAGAGCAGAGAGAGAGAGAGAGAAAGAGATGTCATGAGTAAACACAGAGCCACCTCCAGCTAACGAGCAGTGGCACCCAGGCATGCCAAAGCCAGGGCAGTTGCTGTTTAATCAGCAGTACTCCTCTGCTGCACAAGCATGCTGCTGAGTGAAGGGAGACCACAGGCATGGTCTACAAGGGGCAGGGCCCACTCTGCAGGCCTCCACTTCCATGAAAGGGCAACCTCCCATGAAGGACACACTGCCCTCTCCCCCAGCTTCCCTGACTGTCTCAGCCACTGGGGACTTGGCCTTTTGGGACCTTTGTGCTCACAGAGAGGGTACTTTCGGGCCTGCTCTCTGTCTTGCAGTAGGTGGGATGAGCACCTGTGTCACAGAGACTGCAGCAATCTAGTGGGTTGTCAACTAGGTGGGGAAATTCCCGCCATTTGGATCGGAGTATCACCCCACTGACCACACACAGGGGCACTCCCTGGGCTCAGCTCCTGTCAATGACAAAACCTTTATTTTAATCTCCTTCTCTCATTCCTCAACTGGTTTTAAATGTAGAAGGACAAGAGAGGAATAGTATTTATCCCATTCTCCAAACCCCAACAGGAATTTTAAGCATCATCTCTTCCTAGAACCCCTTTGGTCTGGCCATCTCTGTCTTTACGAATGACGGGTGCCAGACCAGTGAGAGGTCACTGTAGTTGTTTCTGGGCAGGAAAGAGAGCACACATAGGGAATGGCTACTACCCACTCCTGGCCCCAGGTCTCCTGGGAACATGGCTAGAAAGTCAAAATAGCAAATTTATTTCTTTGCCTTCTCTAAATCTTTCACACATTTTTCAACAATGCACCTCCTTATCATGGAACCCTGAGGCTTTAGGTGAAGCCTTCACGGCTCCTTCCCAGTGAAGATTTTGGGGACTCATGCACCAAGTCTGCATTCTGCAGAAGTGTGGCTCTGCCCACATTCAAATTCAACCAGTGTGAATGGCTCCTTCCAGCTCCTAGGCTCCCCACTTGTCTTTTCTGTCCTAAGATGACACATTCCAGTCAGTAACAGTGGCTTGATCATGGCAAGGACTCTCCTGTAAGGTCATCACTCAGAATCCAGAGGAATGTGGATTCTGATATTTTGATATATTCTGGATATTTTTTTAAGTCTCCAGGTAAAATTATAAATCACCTCTGCAGAGAGTCAAGCCTGGGTGTGAATCTAGGTATTGTTGACTAAACAGGTATAAGAACATAAATGAGTTACTGTCTCAGCCTCAGTGTCCTCATTTATCAAAGTCAATCTATCTTACAGGTTTATCCTCAGGACTGAATGAGACAATATTTAGATCAAGACTTTCTCTGACTTTAAACCACCAATGGCTTCTGTATCGATTCAGGATAGGCTAAGATATGCTACAATAACAACCCACCCCAGCGTTTCAGCAGCTCAACATAAGAAAGTTTATTTCCTGGGCTGGGGATGTGGCTCAAGCGGTAGCGCGCTCGCCTGGCATGCATGCGGCCTGGGTTCGATCCTCAGCACCACATACAAACAAAGATGTTATGTCTGCCAAAAATTAAAAAATAAATATTAAAATTCTCTCTCTCTCTCTCTCTCTCTCTCTCTCTCTCTCTCTCTCTCTCAAAAAAAAAAAAGAAAGAAAGAAAGTTTATTTCCTGCTCATACCAACTCCACTGTGGATCCACTGACACTCTGGGGCACCTGTTCTCCTCACTCAGAAATTTTGGCTTGCCCACAGCTGCAAAATGAAGCCTCCTCTATGGCCCCAGTGCAGGGGAGGAGGGCACTATAGGGTCTCACAGGCAATTAAAGGCTCCCACATGAGAGGGGGTTTTGTCCCTGCTGTACACAATTCTCTTCTTCCCTCAAGCAGACATAAGTGAAATCTAATAAGCAAGAATATTCTACACAGCTCAGGAAACACTTCAAAATAGGCATATAACTTACTGACCAACAAGTGGAAATTGCTCCCTTCTGCCAAAAAAGCAAAACACAGGCAATAAGACATGTGTGTCAGAAGACAGAACACATGGCTTCATCTCCTAAAAGACCAACCTCTGCAGTCACCATGGCAAGAAAGCACAGCCTGCAAGAGAAACCATACGAGGATGTGTGCCAGGCGTTGCCCTGACTGTCCTCGGGGAGGACCGAACCAGCTGCACCACTGCTCGGATGTTCACCACCCTGAGAAACTGACCTGGTAGCTCTCTGCCAGAAAGGAAAATGGTTCAGTCGAGCAACAAGTAGCAGGCTGGGAATGGAGCATGAAGCACGAGTCTGTACCCATCCTGTGCAGACCCCTGTTGGCTCCAGAGCTAGAATCAGGTGGGCACCCAGGGAGGCCACAAGGAAAAGCCAACGGCCCGCCCCAATGTGTAGAAACAGCAGTGATTTTCTGACCTATTCCACACAGAAAATAAGTACTGAGGTGAGCAAGGCCCCGACCCCGTCTGATTCCCTTAGCCCACTGGCTTCGGGACAGCTTCCTGCACTTCTAAGAGGCCAATAAGCTCCACTGAGGAGGCCATCCATGGCAGCCACCGCACAGAAAGGCAAGTGGCTTACAAAGTGATCCAGTAGGCGATGTTAGTAAGTCGTGTTTTTGAGCAGACAAGCACTAAAAACCAGTTAAAAGGTGCAGGAAGAGGTGGGGTTGGCCTGAGGGTTCCTCCCTTCACACACACAAATGTTTCAACTGCACTCAGAGGACTGCACACTCACTCCTCTCGCTCTCCCTGCACAACAGCACGCCCACACTTCTGCCTCTCTCCTTCCTTCCCAGCAGGCCTCTCCCTGCTGTCTGAATCCTATTTTGGGTGAGGTTCTCGGCAGGGATGACTCACTTTCCCAGAGCCTGGAAGGAACGCATCATCCTGCTCCCTCCAGGGTTTGTTTTTCAGCAAGTTCCCAAACACAAACCTGAAGGTGGCCTCGGAAGATGAGAAGGGTCGTTCTGTCACCAGATCCTTCTCCAGCTTTATTTCTGTCCAGCATCCCACCGCAATCGTGAGGGTGGCAGCGGGCATCGGCATGGTTACGTAGTAATGCCAGCTTGAGCACCCTGTGAAGAAAGAAGCAGCACGTGAGGCTGTGGAAGGCTCCGGGCCCTCCTCTATTTCTTGAGATACAAGAAGAGCCCAGGGCAGGTCACCCCAGCAGACCCAGGTCTCTGGGAGGGGATGTTTCAAGGCAGGCAAGGAGGTCTGGGCTCTTCCAGCTATCATTCTGATGCCTCACAGTGAGGCTGAGCAAAATGAGGTGCGAGGTGGTCACTCACAACACACGCCTGCGGAGACAAGAACACGTCTCGCTCGTTCGAAAGCACAGCTGACATCTCCTGAAGGAATGAATGATCGCTTCTGTCCTGAAACTAAATAATTCTTCCCTGGGGCTGGGGTGGTGGCTCAGTGGTAGTGCACTTGCCTGGCATGTGTGAGGCACTGGGTTCGATTCTCAGCACCACATATAAATAAATAAAATAAAGGTCCATCAACAACCAATAAAAATATTTAAAAAAAAATAATAAATGATTCTTCCTAAATAAAATAAGTCGAGCTAAAATGCACACCATAGAAAATACATGACACAGAGGAAGGGGAACTCCTGGGTTTCAGTCCTAATACTGAAATAAATTAGCTACAGAAGTTCATGGCTTAGCCCCTATCCTGCCATTCCATTCAGATGATCCTCCCACTGCTCGATGAGCAGATGAAAAACACGAGTAGAGACTTCCCCAGATCCATGACGCCCAACTAGTTCCCAAGAGGGGTCTCAACCCCAGGTGAGGGTGTTCTATGTATGTAGTTCAAACCTTAGGGAAGCTTTGATCAAAGGGACAAGTGACTGTTAACTACCACTGCATCTGCCTTAGATGGGAAAAGGACATGCCTCTGAAATCTGCATGATTTAGCACAGCATTGCTGATGCACGCGCTCTAAACTGATGCTAATATCACCTTATATCATGAAGCCCATTCCTCCATTCCTCATGTTTCCACGAGGGGAAGTTCCACTGGAGTAACACCTCTCTGTCAGCCCACGTACAAGAGCAATTTTCGCTGCTTTAAATGTTATAGGGTTACACACTCATGGACAGCCTGTGATTGTCCAATTCGGTGAGTAAGCAGATAAGATGTCAAATTCTGGGTTGAAATATTAACATGCCCACATTGGCCCTAACATGACATTTTCCAAGAGCTGAGCTGAGGGAGTAGTCCTGTGTGTGGTCAGTGGGGTGACACTCTGATTCCAAATGGCGTGAATTTCCCCATCCAGTTAGATTTTGATCTCCATATGGTTGGCTCCTTCATCTACTGATTCTGAACACAGGAAGGGTCTTTATTACCTTTCAAATTGTGCCAACTTAAATTCAGAGAAATATGTTATGGAATTTCTCTAATGAACAACAGAATTTTATGTAGGAAGCAAAGGCCTAAGAACATGTATGATTCCTGGTGTAATCCAAGCCTGGAAGCCCTGGAGGAGACACCTGAGAGAGGGGCACAGAGGGCATGCCCAGGGCTGCTGGGAACCCAGCACAGAGGCAGTCATTCTCTCAGCCTGTGTGAGTTTCACCCTGCTTCTAGAGCCAGGGTAGCCATTATCGAGATCCCTTTTTCTCAGCTGACCAAGAAGTGGAAGCATGCCCTTTGTCAAAGAGACAATCAAGTCCAACGATTCTAAAGCCAACCAATGATATACATCGCTTCCACAGCCTTAGAGAGAACCATTATCTCCAGCCCCAGTCAGTGGGAAGAGGGTAACAGTCACAGAAGTCTTGGGAGAGCACGGCATGGAGCTGGCCTGGTAGCTGCTCCACGTCTACCTCAGTGTCGGCCTCTGTTGGCCCCTCACTCCCTGCAACCTGATGCCTCCTGATGCTCCATGGAGAACTTCAGTTTGCACAAAGCCAAGAGAGCAGGTAGGAGGTGGAGTAGAAATGAAAGAGGAGGAAGGAAGGCCCGGGTTAAATATTCTGAACGAACACATTTCTTAATCAGAGAGCTCTGGCCAGTCATTATTTTTCTAAATTATTTTTGAGTGTTAACTGTGGTTCCAGGTTGAATCTTAAAAAGTCAAACCCTTCAAGGCTGGATAAATCAGCAGCAATGGTGAGGTGTCCAGATAAAAAATGGAAGCTTGAATGCATAAGGCCATCTTCTCTTCCTCCCAAGCCCCTTTTTAAAGAACAGTGAAAGGAGTTTTTTTTTTTTTTAAGTCATAAATCACGAGAACAGGGAGACTAATCTAGGAGACAGCTGCAAACACTTGAAGCTAGAACGAACGCAGACGGCAGAGACAAGTGATGGCAGAACCACACCCTAAGTCGGTGGTGGAGAAAGAGAAGACGCACCCAGTTTCACCCTCCAGAAGCCCAAAAGGCTGGTGGGTGGAGAAAGGTTAACCTGAGCAGTGATGAGAGCCGTGACAGCCTCTCCATTCTGCACGCCTGGGCTGTGCCCATCCCACCAACCTGGCAAAGGACGTTTTCCAAACAGAAGACAGGGCTCTCTGTGCCACAGGGGTGTGGGAAGAGGGGAAGAAATGGCACAGGTGAAGAAAGTGAACAGGATGTGCGTGCAGGACCCCGAGAGCACCAGCCATCTCCCAGAATGCCAGTGGCCAAGCTTTCACCCTCCAGGCAGGAGACTGAAGAAAGCTACTCCACCACGGGCAGAGCCCAATGACAGGAACACCGGAGGACTCCGTGACAAGCCGGTGGTGAGGCTCGCAGCTGGCAAGATCTCCGTGGGCACTTGGTGCTTCCCTCTTCCTGATGCACAGAGACAAACCAAGGACCTCCAGGCACCTTCAGAAAGCCACTCATGCAAGAGAGACCAAAATAGACCAAACAAGCAACCTGGAGCACAGCAACCACTCAACCACCACATCACACACACAAACACCCAGAATCGAGGGAATTTACTGCAGTCTTGACACAAATGCAGTAGAGTATCAGAAAAGGGCATTCTGCAGCAATGAAATGAAAAATACATTGGAAGGAAAATTCAATGAAAGGAATGGGATGAAATCATAAAGGCAAGGAAATCCACCAGAAAGCAGAGCAAAAACTGAATAAAAAAGTAAAGACAAAAGAGATGAGGGGCGGTGGGGATGAGTTCCAGAGGCCCACGTCCAGGCAGCAGGAGTTCCAGAAGGAGGTGACGGAGGGACAGAGGGGGAAGCTGCCAGTTTATGGAATCCAGAAGCACTGCCCCAACCTGGAGAGAACACGGATTTCCAGACTTAAAGGACTCAAAGCACCCAAAGCACTACTAGGTCCCTTGACCCCACATTAAGATACATCATTATAGAATTTAGAAGCTTGGGAATGAAGATAAGATCCCACAAGCTTCCAGAAAGAGAAAGTGGTGCCGTACAGGGGAGGAGCATATACATATCATAAGGACATTTTCAGACATGCAGAGTCTTAAAAACTCACCTCCTACGCACCACATCTCTAGAAGGGACTAGACTATATAAAGAATGCTTCGAACAGAGGTAGTAAGCCATTAAAAAAGACAAAGGAGCCAGCGCAGGAGAGAAACAGAGGTCGCCTGCAGAAGGACAGAGATGGGCAGCCAGAAGAGGGGACACCATGCCTGCCAGGCAGCCAAGGAACCTCAGGAGACTGCTTCAGAAGGAAACCCGGGAGAAAAGGAGATGTGGGTGATCACCTTAAAAGGAGTTCTGAATGGCTTTCAAAGAGTCTAGGCTTAGGGCTGGGGATGTGGCTCAAGCGGTAGTGCGCTCGCCTGGCATCCATGCGGCCCGGGTTCGATCCTCAGATCCTCAGCACCACATACAAAGATGTTGTGCCCACCGAAAACTAAAAAATAAATATTAAAAAATTCTCTCTTTCTCTCTCTCTCTCTTAAAAAAAAAAAAGAGTCTAGGCTTGACAAAACCAAGAAAATGGGGGGGGGAGGGCGGGTGGCAAACAAAACACCACTATTGACTCCAAGAAGAACCCACACGTACAGAAATCATAATGTAATCATAATTTCATTATGAGACTCAGCTCTCAATGACAAAGATAAAATACAAAGAATGTTGACTTAATCAATGCTGTGACATGAGTCACATTGGGAAGACAGGATGTGGGGAAGGAAGCAGGGAGGAGAACGAACTAAATTTTCACCCGTGGGACACGGTGAACGCTGACGAGAAACCAGAGCAGGTGAACACAGGGAGTGAGTGCGAGAAACCCAGAGGATTGTTTAACTCTAAATATTGCATTTTTAATGTAAAATAATTCAAAACAAAACCAACTAATCAACTGATCAAAAGGTAAACTTATCAGAAAAACAGCAGCATCTTTGACCCTGAAATACTATCAAAATGATGAAATACAGCTGGAAGGACGGGCCGGCCACAGAGAAGGTGCAGGCGCTGCTCCATCGGGAAACCCTCTCAGGAACGAAGCAAGCACTGAGCACAATGGTTTCTATGTTCTGTGCTGAAGTTTTGATCCGATTTTTTTGCTACAAGTCTAGTTCTTGGTACCATCTAAGGCCTAGGCAAGGTGGGACTTGTGGAAACCACAAGAACTGAACTGAAACTGCTTCCAAAAGAAATCACTGCTAAGGAAATAGGAGGTAATCACGAGATCCCTGCACAGGGTCACCAAAAATCCAGAGCTCCTAGTGACATCGCATCCCAGCACCACTGTCAGAAAGCGTGTGTACCTTCGAGGTAACACGGGGAGGGCACTAAGAGCCGTGAAGGGATGTAGTAAGAGGAAGAATGAGATGAGCCACAAAAAAATTGCCAATATCTTAAATAACCCAGAATTGGGGAGTGAGGTGGCCACAGTGATAACAGAACCTGAACTGAGTCTGACGAGAACGCTTTAGAACTGTTGTCGTCACTCGCATCACTCCTCCCTCAAATGTGGCTGCAAAGTTAAATAATGGAAAGAAAGATTCTGAATGTTAAAGAGGATGCCCCTCTATACAGCCCACAGCTTTTTACTTTCTTAGATTCCTAAGTCCCTTTTCTAGCGGGGCTCATTCGGAACAAACTGCTTCATAGTGCAAGCTTTTAAAACGAAGCCTTTTTG